GCAGGATGTCATCGTCCTCCTCCTCCTCCTCCTCCTCCAGGTCCTCTAGCTCGTCCTCCCCGGCGTAGGAGCGCCGCCGCCGCCGCCGCTGCGCGGGCACCGCCAGGCGGGACACGCCACCGCTGCCCTCGTCGTCGTCCTCCTCTTCTTCGTCGTCTTCGTCCTCGCCCTCCCCTACCACGTCGATGTCTGTCTCCTCCGCGAGGCCGGAGGCATCGGACATCTCCGTGCTCAGGGTCATAGCTGTGGCGCGGCGGCGGCGGCGGCGAGGCGTCGCATAGGGGCGCCGGGCTCCGGGCTCCCGCCGCTCCCCAGCCCGGGTCCCGGGCGGCGGGCCCGGCACGGGGGCGCCACGCTGGGGGCGCCGCCGCTGTTCGAGCTGGGCCGGGGGCTGCCCGGGGACTGCCCGGCGGCTGCGGAGGCTCGCGCCGCGACTTTGTAACTCCTACGCTGCCGCCAGAGCCGCACGGTCTCTGCGCTCCCTCGGCTCCGCGCGCACCGGTCCCGGGCGGGGGACTTGACCTTCCCCTTTCCGAGCGGCCCGCGCCGGGGTCAGTGAGGAGGGGGTGGCGAGACCCCGAGCGGGCCAGTCAGAGTGCCGGGCGCCCGGGAAGGTGCGGGACGGGTGAGAGTCTGGGGACCGAGCTCGGCGAGGCGAGGGCTGAGTCCAGGAGAGGGCGGACCTTTCCTCGGCTTATAGTAGGAGGCCTGTCACATGGTGTGCACGTCAGAGCGCTACCGAGGGAAGGGATAGAATGCCTAGGAAATCAGCCCTGCTCCGGAGAGAAAGTTTACCCGGAGGAGGGAGCAGCAACTGAGAAGATGGGGGGGGGCCGAGGAGAGAGGACCCCACCACTCCTTGTCAAAGGGGTTGAGACCTGAATTACGCGCTGGCCCGCGGTGGTCTGGACCTAGGGCCGATGCAAGAGGTAGAATTCCCAGGCTCCTTCTCTTCAATTAGCCCTCAGCCCTAACCTCAGAAGCACTCTCGTGACGCGACAGTTTGACCACTCGATGGCCCGTAGGAGCCGTCCAGCCCGGAAGTAACTCCCCTCCCCCAATCGTCCGAGGTGGTCCCTGAGGAATGGCTCTGAGATGCGTTGGGTTGTCCCATCTCCCTCAGACTGGGCCAGCGGCTCCCCATCAAATCTGTTGAGAAACCCCCAGTTTAAGCACAATAATAATTGTTTACTGACCTTTTAACCTGTCCCCTTCGGTTCTTCTCCAGAGACGTTTGTTTTCCGCCATCTGTTAATAAAAATGCGGTTAGGCTGGCGTTTTAGTCACTTACCCGCAATTGAATGCCCTAGAAACTTGACAGCTAAACTAAGCCACTCTAATGAGAGGATCTGACAAATTTCATGGGAATAAAGAAAGTAATCATGGAATACAGAAAAGAAATAGAAAATGTTAGTGAAAACCCAAACACACACACACAAAATGCACCTAGAAACAACTCAGAAAGTTCTTCCCTAATGGGTTAAGAGACTCTCTAGTTCTTAGTAAGAGGAACATTCTAATCAACACTTCACAGTAATCTCAAAACGCTTAAGTAACTACAACATATACACATACCTCCACTCAGGTTTAATAATAGGAACTATATTAATTAAAACTTTCAAACCAGCTTTTAAAAATGTTTTTGGAAAATCTAAATATTTCCAATAGCTACCGGTGGAAAGAAACGAAATAATATTGTAAAATAAGATTTGAGTTCTGTTCAGCCCAATTTTCCTTTTCAGGTGACAAGGTAGTAGAAATAACTCAAATACGCTATTTTAAATATTCCTATCTTTGTCGTCAACTCAAATTATTGTGGCTAGTGTAAAAACCCTAATAGCTTGTGGAATTCACACTCACATAGCCATTCCTTTTGGATTTTTGCATCTCCCCAAATGCTTCTATTTCAAAGTGGGGACCGGCCTCGAAATTTTAGCTTTCTGTTTAAAATGACCACTTAACAAAAACTATCAAAAATCAATGGCTTTCTGTAGGAACAATCATCAGCTGCCTTTGTGTACGTCTTTTTATCCACCAAGTTTTTCACGTTTTCAAACGTCTTACTCCCCTTGTCAATCAGAGTCTCAAAAATAAACTGCCCCCCCAACCTAAGAATTCTTTCAAAATCGAGTTTTTGTTGCTGAGGACAGCTACCCCCCAGTTACACTTACAAATGACCCATAAAGTCCATCACAGATCTCTGAAAGATCTATGAGAACGCCTCAAAGTTCTAAATAAATTATTTTTCATTGATTCTCATCTGAAAAATGGCTGAACCATTTAATTATTGTAATGGGCTCAGCCTTAACCTGAGCCAACATTAATCAGCACTATTAATCAGGCATTACATTGCTTTGTTGATCTAGCCAGGAGTCCTTACCAAGGAGTTCACTTTTACATTTGGAAGTTGAAGTTTTATAAGTACTCAGTCGATAGCTAAATAAACACCATGATTTTCACTAGACTGCGGACTGGTGTGTGGCGAAGTATTTGAAGATAAAACGGAGAGGAAGAATTTGTTCGCAGACCATTAGTTACTTTAGATGATCAGTTACAGCCGTCATTCCATCACCCTGAACTTGTCTGGCCAAGGAGGGCAAAGAGATTGACTTGGCGTTCCGTTTTTGTAACTTTGTCCAAAGCTCCCTCCCCAGAGGGTTCAAGGGGTCTTCCCTGGAAACGTTTGAAAAACGTGGCAAATTATCTTCTGGCCACTCAGGGGTAAGTGTTAGGATTTAGTGAAGGTCAGAGCGGAAGATCAAGCCAGGAGGAGCGCTGCAGGGACAGTGTTCACGGAGATTTGGGTGAGCTTTTCTAAAGCCCCATATTGGGGCACGTCACTTGCTTTGTTTGCTTTAGTTAAGCTACACATCCGTATGCGACCTTTAGCTCCGCGCTTGTGAAATTTCCGGAGCGCGGAAACCCAAGTGTTTCATTTCCCGCGTGTCCCCCTCTTGCTCCCCTCGTGCCCCACCTCCGAGCCTCCCTTCCAAACGCATTCCCAGTTCTCAGCCGCGGCTGGGAAATATCCACCGCCACCCACTCAAGCTAGCACGGGGGATGAGAAACTATTCTGTGGGGCGGGCTGGGGACCACGCGGCGATCGCCCTCCCGTGTGCTCCGCTCGCGTGGACGCGGACAACGCCCGGCGCCTGCCTGGCCAGGTGGTGCCCACGTGGGGGAGGGCTGCCCCCTGGCGGCGGCGCGGCGCCCTGCTGGCCCCGGCTCAGGTCTGGATCCGGAGCTGGAGAAGCAAGTGTGGCCAGCGGACTCCCGGACTTCTTTCCCACTGGGCGTCCGGCAGCAGAGCTTTACGTTTCTTGAGTCCCCACTTCTCTGGGGCGACTGAGCAGGAGCAGAGGTATTTCTTTGGGCCGCAGGTTTCTCATGTTTTCTCTTGGACGGTTTGGGTGCTCCAGCAGCCCCTGGAGGGTTATTGGGATTGTGTAGCCGCAGAAATCGAGGAAGCGGCGGAAGCCTCGGAAGGCGCCGCCTTGGCCCCTTGCATTCGGCCCCCTGATTGAGAGCTCCGTAAGATCCAGGGGCCTCCTTCGATGGGTGAAGGCTGGCAGACACCTGGGGGATTAAACTCCCGGGTTGGGAACTTGGACGCCTCTCTTGGCCCCAGAGCATCCCAGGAGTTTACCCATGAATGTGAATACCAACGTTTCCAAACTTGTAGGGACACCTGGGGCTGCGTCCCTTCTCCAAGTATCCCACAAGCCTGTGCTGAGATACTACTTTGTGCCTAGTGAGGTGCTCATAGTCTCTTGGGAAAGCCAGGTAGATAATTGTTATGCCCAGGGGTAAGTGCTTTCTGATTCCCCCACTCAAAACTGAGTGGTGCCTCGGGGTCCTTGACTAGCTTCAGAACCATTCTTTCACCCTGCAGCTGCCCTTCCTTGCGGCTATATGCATTTTCCCTTTTTGTAAACTCAAATGTCTAGAGGCCAAAGGGGGCTCCAGTCCTTGTTTTTTGTTTGTTTTTCAGTGTGTGTTAAAATACACATAGCACAAAATTTACCACTTTATTTTTACCTTTTAATTTTTTTCTTGCGAATAGGCTCAGTTAGAGCCTTATATGTAATTAAGTAATGTATAACATGAATATACATACAAATATCATATCAGTAATATAATACAGTAGTAAAAATTTACCAAAGTGTACAGTTCAGAGACATTAAGTATGTTCACATTGATGCAACATATTATCCATATCCAGAACTTTTCCTTCATCCCAAACTGAAACTCTGTACCCATTAAACAATAATTCCATTCCTACCCCCACCCATCCCCCAGCCCCTGGCAACCACTATTTCACTTCCCATCTTTATGAATTTGACTATTCTGGCTACCTCATAAAAGTAGAATAATACAACATTTGTCCTTTGTGACTGGCTTATTTCACTTATAGTGTCTTCAAGGTTCATCCATATTATAGCATGTATCAGAACTTCGTTCCTTTTTAAGGCTGAATAATATTCTTTTCTATGTATAGACCACATTTTGTGTATCCATTCATCCACCAGTGGACATCCACTGGGGGTGTTTGCTCTTTTTCTGTTCCTTTCTGAACTTCCACGCACCTAGCTCTTTGTAATACTCTGTATGCAGTAGGCACTCAATAAACGTTGGTCATTTCCCTACACTTTTTTCACCCCAGAAATCCTCAAAGGAATCCCATTGTCTTAAGAGAGCACACATATTAGTGAAGTCACAGCCATTGTTTTCCTGCACCCTTCTGGATTTTTAACCTCAACTTGCTCACAATTTTGAGACTTCCAGACTCACACTCTGCACATTATCTTCAATTTTAAAAAAGTAGGAGTTAAGACTCCACCAGAATTAGTTCCAAAATTGTGAACATTTTACACACACACACACACACACACACACACACACACACATAGTTTTATATCTCTTTTCTGCCTTACCTGTCCTAAATCCTTGGAGGCCTGAGATGACCTTAAAATATTTCTCTGGCTGTCCAGGTCCCTCCACGTCAGCATTCTCTAGTGGTTTAATATTCCTGCCATGAGGGTTGGTTCACACATGCCACTGAGCTAATGTCAAGGTCACAACAAGCAGTGAAATGGGTACCCCCATATGATGGCTGAGGAAACAGGCTTGCATAGTTGCTGTCATGTGTTATAGAGGCCGTGGGGGGCAGAGTGGAGCTTTGTCATCATGTCCCAGTTCCAGCAGCCTCTCCCAACACAGGACTCCATGGACCGGGCTCTT